ACAAATATTACATACATTCAAACAAACAGACATTGTTACTTACAGAAATACATCATTATTGTGTTCTTTAGTTTAATTTACCTACTTTACTCTCAACGTGTTTAGTTGTTACCTAACTAAATATTAATTCGGTCCACCTCATATTCCTACATACTCCAATAATGATAAGCCTTAGGGTAAATAAGTAAGTCCTCGTCCTTTTACAGCATTGTAATACCTGTAAAGGTATTAATTAAAGAACCTCCCAGTTTCAATCATTTATTACAATTAATCGATTTAGGTGACAATCACCTATGCGGGAAAGTACAATAATGTACCTACAGTCAACAATTGGTTTCAGTTTAGCCTCAGGCTTATTGTACCTTCAGTTTTTCGAGCAGGAACACATTATTTTACATATCCGGACATTTTATTTTATTCCCACACTATGACAACTTGCGAAGGGCATTCGTTTGGCAATCGGAGTCCACAAGCAATTACATAAGAATCTATTTACTACAGAAACTGGATATAAAAATTAAGAAATTACTGTATATAGATTATATAGACCAAGGATCTAATTTACTACGGTTTTCATTTGTAATCAATACTGGATCACCTGGTTTTAATCGAATTTCGCATGAACTGGCATTACACTATAATTTACGACTTCGTTTCGCTTTCTCTAGGTACTCTCCGGTTCTTTTTTGACTTTGAGACAATTGTAACCTATCTTCTTGATCATAGGCGCCCATTTTATAAAGTGGGCCTACTCGAGATCCGTTAAGATTTTCGGGCAAATACTAGTTATAATAGTAATAGTAATATTTTATTGTGTGTTGTGTTTATACACTTACACTCGTCAACAAAGATAGGTACATAAAACAATAAAACGGACGTATAGTTACAATCACATTGTATATGAACGTAGAAGACTTACAATAAGGTTGCATATTAGCTGGGAGACAATTAAACAAAAATTGGGACTGAAATCGTATGCGAATATTGCCCTTGAGTCTAGTGTTATGGTCGTGAATTTGACTGTTGAAACGGTATATAAAATAAGATAAATCGTTTAAATAAACAGCTGAAGTTTGAATTATAACGTATGGAAGTTTTATTGCCATCAACATGTTGATCTCTAGCGATTGGATTCATAATTTGGGAATTCCGAAGTATTGTTGGACGGAATTCAGGGGCGGATTGATCCGGGGGGGCGGGTGGCGGTTGCCACCTGGCCTGTAGATCATAATGGCCCGTTGGAAATTTATAAGTATGTGCTGTATTTAGTTTCTTGCACTATTAATAAATTATTAACACGTTTCTCTAATTGGGGTTGATGTTAGGTTGTTAAAAAATTCTGTTTTAATTGAAGTGTTTTACAATGAATTTATCATTTTTGGTCGTAGCATGAAAGTGCTGAAATACAATGATAGGCGACGCACCTCGTGTGGATTGTATATTTTGTTACTTTTCATTATCAGCTGCAATTTAAAAAAAACTGTATGGTAATTTTCTATAAGAAAACTTTTTTTCCGGGTCGATCAGAGACAATTTTTTCTTCGGGGCTCAAAAAAAGGCAGTGTATTACCTTCCTTTTTTACCAAAAATCGACTACACCAAAAATTCTCAGGAAAACACTTTTTCTTATTAAGTTGGGTGCGTAGAATCCAAATCAATTCGTACTTTTTCGATCAGACTTCTCAATCAAAAGTTGTAGGCTAGAAACCAATTTCGAAAAAAAATTCAAAGGGCTGTAACTTTTGAACTAGTAGCCCAATCTTGGAACTGTTTGAAATTATGGATTCTACAGGCCACATTCTATCGGCCCGTAACCTATGCAATTCCACCTGGCCCTTAAGTACCCAGTCCGCCCCTGACGGAATTCACCTATAACTCCTATAGTGAGGATATAATACCATTGCCTGCGAATGCCGACACCTTTAAAATATCTTTCCACCTGCTCATAACAAACGGACATTGCTTGGTGTTTATTGTAACAAAATGTAAACTCATTTATGTACATTCTGACTCATTGAGGGTACGACGCGTACGTTCACTTCCTCCTATCGATTGAGTGTGGATAAGCTGTGGAAATTTCGTGGGAGATGTTCAACAATTTTGAAAGATTTGCAAAAATTTCATTTTTATTATGCCTGAATCACAATCTCCGTTTTAAACACACAAATGCGTGCGAAAAAATGCCTACACACGTGCTTTAAAGTTGCTAGGCAAATATACTTTAATATTGGATTAAGATTAAGTGGTAGAACAGTCGCCTAATTTTGGCAAGACTGAACTTCGTCCCTTTGGACACTCCTTTTCTTCTTTTTTTTTAAATTGTTTTCTTGTTTTGTTATTATATATTATTGAGGTGGAAGTATGTCCAATAAATGGATTATTATTATTATTATTATTATTAACTCTTTAATCATGTATTACCAAAACGTGCGTGGTATCAGAACTAAGATTAATCATTTTAATAATGCACTTATCTCTTCTTGTGTCGACTATGACGTTATTATACTAACCGAAACGTGGTTGCACAGCGGTATTTTAAACAACGAACTTGAACTAAACAATAAATATGTTATCCACAGGTGTGATCGCAGTAGCGAAACTAGCAACTTATTACGTGGTGGGGGTGTTCTAATTGCTGTAAAAAACACTATGTTCAGTAAAATAATTAATATCAGTGTTAAAAGTATTGAGCAGTTATTCCTTCAGATTGAGTGTAACAATCACGTTTATATAGTTGGTGTGGTCTACATCCCTCCACGTTCCCACAGTTCCTATTACACCAAGCACTGTCAAGCAATTGAAGAAGCAATGGACAGTAATATGAACACGCCATTTTATTTATTTGGAGATTATAATTTGCCCGATTCCTATTGGATCAATGAAGAATTAGCGGTTCGGGGAGAGACGTCTTCTACAAGTCAAATAGACCTCGACATATTAGCTGCACTGAATGAGACGTGTTGTTATTTCAACTTATATCAAGTAAATGGCATCCCGAACATGTATGGAACTAAGTTGGATTTGGTATTCACCAATTCACAAAATTGTTCTGTTTCAACATCACTTGACCCATTACTAACATGTGACACGTATCATCCTCCACTTTTAATTGAAATTAGTACGAAAAACCCACTTTTCCTTAAAGAAACTGCATTTGTTATCTCTCCTCCCCTAACACTACTTTTTAATTATTCGCTTTCAACCGGCTACGTTCCCGATACCTGGAAAGTAAGCTATGTCACACCCATACATAAATCAGGCGACAAATCTAATATTCGTAACTATCGCCCAATTTCAATCTTAAATATAATTCCAAAAATCTTTGAAAATATTATAGTTGATAAAATCACCCCATTATTTAGCAATATTATAACTGAAGAGCAACATGGTTTTACGAAAGGCAGATCTACATGTACAAACTTGCTAGTTTACCAACAATATATTTAAAAGCGTTAGAGAACGGTCACTAAGTTGATGCAATATACACGGATTTTACAAAGGCGTTCGATAGAGTTAATCACCAACTCTTACTAAATAAATTATCAAGTTATGGCATAAAAAATCCGCTGTTAAACTGGTTTACTAATTATCTGTCAGGGCGTCAGCAAATAGTTAAAATAAAGCAATTTACTTCCTACGCAATACCAATAACTTCAGGAATTCCGCAAGGGTCACATGTAGGCCCGCTATTGTTTAATATTTTTATTAATGATATTTCTAGTTGTTGAAGAAATTCAAAATTTTTACTATTTGCAGATGACCTTAAGTTGTATTCAATTGTAAGGTCCGCTTCAGATGCCATAACGCTCCAATCTTCTCTAAATGAAGTCCTACAGTGGTGCCAAAACAATGATATGTGCCTCAACTTTTCTAAATGCTGTGTGATGCGTTTTCATCGAATCTCTAGGCCCTATCTGTTCAATTATATGATAGAGAATGTCTCTTTGTGTTCTGTTTCAACAATTGTTGACCTCGGTGTTACTCTTGACCCGGCCCTAAGATTTCATCAGCACATTAATAACTTAACTTCGAAAGCTCTACAAAAACTTGGTTTCCTGAAGCGCACTACGGCCCATTTTACACACATACAGACGATAAGGTCGTTGTACTGCTCGATAGTAAGGAGCAATATTGAGTACTGCTCTCCTGTTTGGTCCCCACACTTTGATAAGTACATCCATAGAATTGAGTCCATTCAACACAAGTTCTTAGATATGCGGCATTTAAATTAAAGATAGCAATACATAGTAACGATTTTTCTTATGAAGAAATACAGCGTATTTTGAACTTACAATCCTTAAGTACCCGTAGGAAGTTTGCAGATGTGTACATTTTATTTAAATTAGTTAACTCTGATATAGATTGCCCATACTATTGTCAAACATATGCTTAAACGTTCCCTCCAGAATTTTACGTAATATACAATTATTCCATGTTCCCTTCCACAGAACAATGTACGGACAATACTCTCCTCTAGTAAGAATGTGCAATTCCGCAAATGTACTATCACAGATTTAAATCTGTGGTACTATGTACTAATATTAACTTTTTTGGTACTACATTTGTTGCGCGATTGAATTATTAATTAATAAAACCGCCGAGTGTTTTCTCATACGATATATTTAATTTGAATGTTACATTACGAGTGTAAAATAACAACTAACTTATGCCTAATTACACTGTCCTCCTGACTTTCCCCTACTACTCTACTACCCTGCTTCAAGGGCAGAGAAACCTGTTGGGACGCAACATTCAGCCCCCTGTTGAAACATTCATGATTTCAACAATTCTACTGATATCTACTGATAAAGTATTACATCTATAAACCTGGAACAAAATACGGTTCCTAACGATAAGTATAATAACAAGAATACATAATATAAAAATATACATCATAGAAGCAATAATGAATAAATTGTTAATTATAACGTTCATAAGAAGAAATATGTACAGTTCTGAATACTTAAAGTAAATTTCTGATTAAAAAGTCTATATTTTATTTACATTGTGCGTTGATTTGGTGGAACAGTAGTTACAGTCTCTGATTGCTGTATAGGCAAAACACACACTTTGTTGATTGCCCGTTTTATCACACCACCTTTTGTTTTAATTGAAACTACGCGCACCTTTTTGTCATTGCCACTGTGAACTTCTACGACGCGTCCATACGACCATTGGAGAGGTGGGAGGTTCTCTTCTTTTACCAACACCATGTCTCCGACGACGAGATCCTTTTTGGGAGATTTCCACTTGGTTCGTTGTTGTAGGTTATTTAAGTATTCACGCTGCCACCGCCGCCAGTAATGCTGCCTAATCTGATCCACTAGTTGCCATCTGGAGAGTGTGTTCATTCTTAATTGCGTGACATCTGCTTCGATTGGGGCAACTAATAAATCTCCAATTAGGAAATGGCTAGGGGATAGGGCGTTTAAGTCGTTGGGATCGTTACTCAGTGGAGTTATAGGACGGGAATTTACACACGCTTCGATTCCCGCCAGAACCGTATACATCTCCTCAAAAGTGAGGTTGGCGCTTCCTACAACCTTTTTCAAATTTTGTTTTACGAGTTTTATGCTTGCCTCCCAAAGACCTCCTTGATGAGGCGCTCTAGGGGGTATAAAATGCCATTTAATGTTATGTGTAACAGTATTTAATTGATTTTTTAAAGCCTGAGAGTGGAGAACTCTTTGGAACTCACGATCCGCTCCAACGAAATTCGTGCCATTGTCTGAATAAAAGTCGGTTACGTGACCTCTCCGAGCAACAAACCGCTTCACAGCTCCTAAGAATGAGTCGGTAGTTAAGTCTCCGACTAATTCTAGGTGGACCGCCTTGGTCGCTAAACAAATGAATAATGATATGTACCCTTTAACCAATCTTTTTCCACGACCTCTGCCTTCCTTTAACGATAAAGGACCCGCGTAATCTACTCCGCAATGGATGAACGGTCTTGCCATAGTAACGCGATCAAGCGGAAGGTTACCCATAATTTGAGTGGAAGCGATGGGATTTACTTTGTAACACCTTACACACTCTTTTAAAACTTTTTTAACTTGGTCTTTGCCTGAAATTGGCCAATATTTTTGCCTAAGGGAATGTAACGTGGTTAATTGACCTGCGTGAAGTAAGCGTATATGTTCTTCGCGAATTAGTGAGCTAATTAAGTGATGCTTCGGTAATATAATTTGATGTTTGGCATCAAAGGATAAATTTGCGTTATCTAGCCTTCCCCCTACCCGCAACAATCCGTTTTCGTCGAGAAAGGGACTCAAAGCCAAAATGGCGCTATTACTCATGATACTCTCTTTACGTTTCAATTTTTGAATTTCATTCGGAAATGTAATAGTTTGTAAAGTACGAATTATTATTAATTCTGCCTGGCGTATTTCTGAAAGCGTTAAATTTCCTAATTGTTTTTGTTCTTTATTCTTGACATTATATACAAATCTTTTGCAATACGCAATTACATTACAGAGACGTTTAAAGGATGATATATTATCGAAAATATCTAACTTTGGTATCGTGTTGGCAATAAGGCATGTTATTTGGATCGCTTTTAAATCCGGTATATCTTTTAATGGTGTAACGTCGGGTTGACTCGGACCTTGAGAATCGGGAAGTAGTAAAAATGTTGGTCCATGCCACCACATATGGAGTTCAGCTAACTCGCTCGGGAGGGCACCGCGGGAAATTATGTCGGCGGGGTTTTCTTTTGTGGGAACGTGTTTCCACACGGCATTAGATGTACTGTCTTGGATTTTGGTTACTCGATTTGCCACGAATGTCTTTAACTTAGAGGGTTCTGTTTTTAACCACGCTAAAACTATGGTCGAGTCCGTGTACAGCGATATTTGGCTAAATACAATATTTATTGCCTGAGTTACTTTATTTAACAGACGAGCTAAGAGTAGTGCCGCACATAATTCTAATCTGGGGATAGTGATTGTTTTTACCGGGGCTATTCGAGATTTAGAGCACATTAAATGGCTAGTAACTAACTGGTTATTGGAAATCGACTTAATATAGATACACGCTCCATATGCCTTTTGAGAAGCATCGCAAAAACCATACAACTCAAATTTGGAGGTAATTGGTGATTCTGTGACTCGCCTTGGAATTTGATAGGTAGCTATTATTGGCAAATCTTTGCAAAACTGTTGCCACGCGGTAAAAATAAACGCGGGTACTGACTCATCCCACCCTACTTGGAGTTGCCATAAATGTTGCAATAGAATCTTAACAGTAACAATTACTGGACCTACTAACCCTAACGGATCATAAATTTTGGATATTATCGATAATATTACTCGCTTAGTTACTCGATTATTTGAAGTATGGTAGTTATTAGAAAACTTTAAGATATCTGCTTCACAATTCCATAACAGACCTAACGTTTTGGTTTCACTTTGCTTGTCCAATTGTATGTCATTAGTTATGTTAGCTTGGGTATCAGGTATTAATCGTGGATCATTTGAGGCCCATTTCGTTAACTTGAAACACCCTCCCCTTAGAATTTGATCAATTTCGTTACGTAATTTTATAGCTTGATCCAGATCATCTGCGCCTGTTAATAAGTCGTCTACATAAAAGTCTTCTAGAATTGCTCTACGAGCACAAGGCGTCGAAGTTGCCTCCAACCCTAGTTGTTTTATACAACGCATGGCAAGGTAAGGTGCAGGGCCTGTTCCGTATGTAACGGTATTTAATTCGTAAGTTTGCAACGGCTGGGTACGTGATGATCGCCAGAAAATTCGTTGATATTTGCGATCGTTTTTGTGGACTTCAATTTGCCGAAACATTTTTTCAACGTCTGATGAGATTACAAATTGGTACGTTCGGAAACGTAACAATATCAACAACAGTTCTTGCTGAAGAGGAGGACCCACATGTAATATGGAGTTCAGGCTTAGTCCGTTATTAGTTTTTGCGCTACCATCAAAAACTACTCGCAATTTAGTTGTCACTTTATTTTCATTTACGACTGCGTGGTGTGGTAGGTAGAATGCATTATTCTTATCAGTTACATTACTGGGTACCAAACTCATGTGGCCTAATTTACAATATTCATTTATAAAATCTACATATCTAATTTCTATATCATGGTGTTTACTGAATCGTTTTTCCAAAGAATAAAACCTTTTTTCAGCATTAAAAACTGACGAACCTAACATTACGGGATCTTTCTTAAACGGTAACCTGACGACAAACCTACCGTCTGACTTACGTGAATATGTTTGTAAAAAATGATTTTCGCATTCTATTTCGCTGAGTGAGTAACAAGGCTGACTGTCTTTAATTTCCTCGATCTCCCAAAAACGTTTAACATTGTCATTGATCACATCCATATTTAATTGGCTTACACTACGATTTGAACGATCATTATTTGAAATGTTTGGTAATATTGCGTTTCCACCAAATATCCAACCCAGGTGCGTTTTCTGTAGAATCGGTTGGTTTTTGATTTTAATTTGTCCCACACATAAAAGAGTCCAAAAGACCTCGGCTCCTAGAAGTATATCAACGGGTAACGATTTGTGAAAATTTTCGTCCGCTAGTTTAATACCAGATGGGATTTGAAAAATATTTCGGTCGATATCAATATTCGGTAAACGATCCGTAATTTTTGCTAAAGATAAGCAGTCAATCTTAGTCGTGAAAGCATTAAATTTTGATTTTATAGTAACATTTACTATTCTATTTGCAGAAGAAACGTTTTGATTAATTCCAATAATTGTCCAATCGATATAATTAGAGGGAAGTTGTAATTTATTAGCGAGTTCAATTGTTATAAAATTTGATTGACTGCCTGCGTCTAATAAAGCCCTGCATACGTGGATTTGCCCCCTAGCATCTAAAATTTCTAAAGTTGCGGTAGATAAAAACGTATATACATGTGATTTTAATGCTCTGCTTACATGATTACAAGAAGTTTGATTTAATTCTTGGGTTGGGGCACTAGTAGAGGGTTGCGAAATCGGTTTATTAACATGGAAACGCGTATTATGTTTTCGTTGGCAATGTTTGCACCCATTGGATCTACAGTTAATGGTGTTGTGGCCTTCGCGCAAGCAATTTGTGCAAAGTCTTAGACGTCTGGCTTCTTGTAGCGCATTTTCGGGGGTTAATTCATTAAATTTGTCACATGAAAATATGTGATGAGATTGGCTACAAAAGGAGCATTTAATCGGAGTCGAGGGTTGTACTGTTAGCGCTGCATTATTTACAGCGCGTTGGGGTTGCGTAAATTTTGATTTAAAAGGCATGAATTGATTGAAGGTCGTTTTAGTTCCTTTGTCAAATTGTAATGATTCTAGCAAGTTGCATTTGTGCTTTAGAAAATCAAGTAGATCATCCAATACCGGAATATCATCGATACATTCATTCTCCCAATCACGTGTAGTGACATAATCCAGCTTACCAAGTACCAAGTGAATAATCAAGACATCCCATCTATCAGTTGGCAACCCTAAGTTACTTAACACTTTTAAATTTAATGATATTTTATCAATTAATTGGCGCATTGCGACGCTGTTGTCTTTTGTCACTGTAGGCAAAGCAAATAAGGCATTAATGTGAGTTTTAATAATCAATTTTTTGTTATGGTAGCGTTTTGTAAGTAAATCCCAAGCAATTTTATAATTTTCGACCGTGATTGATAACGATTCTACTACTTGAGCAGCCTCGTTTTTTAGACATGATTTCAGGTAATGCAGTTTTTGAATGTCAGAAATGTTTTTGTCATCGTGTATCAAGCATTTGAATGTTTCGTGAAATGATAACCATTGGTCATAATTACCGTTAAAGGTTGGCAAATTTATGGCAGGTAATTTAAAGGCACCTTTTGTCTTAAATTCAATAGAATTATTTTGGGTTTGCGGATCGGCTTTAGGTATCGTAACCGGTTCTAATTGTTGTTTCGCTAATGAAACAAGTCTAAAATATTCGTTTTCAAATTTTTCGCTTTCTTGTGAATTCCTAAGTGAATCATTCTCCCTTTCAGGGTCATCATCATTTACAGTCAATGCACACATAACTTCAATATCTTCTTGAACAATTGAAAACTCATTAAGCACACCCAGAAATTTATCGTATCTAATCTTTAATTCTATTGATTTAGTTGAATTGTATGAGTCGAGGAATTTTGAGAATCTGGTTAAATGGCCTTTTATAACCCCACGTTTTGCAATTAATGTTTTTAAGTCTGACATTTTGAAAAGATGCAATTTGGATTTGAACGAGACGTGAGTTACGTGTGATGTAATAATAATATGATACAGGATAATTGATAAAAGGATTGGAGACTTACTTGTGGTACTTGCAAACGGTGTGTAGCGATGTTTCTTCTTTTTCGATGACGGGCCGTGATGTAGCAGCGTAAATCGTGAAGCAGGAAGCAGTAATTGCGATTACGATTATTCTCGGTGACGGGATTTGATGTAGAACCGTGGATCGTGAAACCGGAAGCAGTACTTGCCAGAAATTCGTGATTATTCTTTGCTGATGAGCTTTGATGTAGAATCGTGGATCGTGAACGGGAAGCAGTAATTGCCAGCGACGATTTTTCTTAATGCGATGCGAATCTTCTCAATTGAAGAGGTTCACTAATAATTGGGACTAACGAGATGCGCGATAACGTTTCGATAAACCGATTCTTCTTAATTGAAGACGTTTCTTAATTGAAACTAAAGAAAAGCACGATCACGATTATTTTTTATAATATCCGACTCGAAGGACCATGTTGCGCGATTGAATTATTAATTAATAAAACCGCCGAGTGTTTTCTCATAACGATATATTTAATTTGAATGTTACATTACGAGTGTAAAATAACAACTAACTTATGCCTAATTACACTGTCCTCCTGACTTTCCCCTACTACTCTACTACCCTGCTTCAAGGGCAGAGAAACCTGTTGGGACGCAACAACATTTATCGAATTCCGAAGGAAGCTGATGTT